CCAATTTTGAATTCAGGGTCTTAGTTTTTGATGTTTAGTGGAATATACTGACAGAATAAACGAGAACGATCTGTTTAAGCACGATTGGAGAAAAAGATCAAAGGCACAAGTGCTTCAATACGTATTCCTGAAATGGACTTTAGCTTGTCTTGTTGGTCTCTTCACTGGTCTAATCGCAACTCTCATCAATTTAGCCGTTGAAAACATCGCTGGTTACAAGCTTTTAGCCGTTGGCCACTTCCTCGGCCAAGAAAGGTAATCAACTTTCAGGATTCAAAAAGCTTTTGTTACCCTTTTTTTTTAGTGTAATGATGGATGATAAAGTCGTGTGTGGGGGAAACAGATATGTTACAGGTTTGATGATGTTTGCCGGAGCAAATTTGGGGCTGACTTTGGTTGCATCTGTGCTTTGTGTGTACTTTGCTCCCACGGCAGCTGGTCCTGGCATTCCTGAGATCAAAGCTTATCTTAATGGTGTTGACACTCCCAACATGTTTGGTGCTAACACTATGATCGTTAAGGTTTGTTTCTGAAATTGGAAATTTGAAAAGATTATCAGGGAAGAACCTTTTGACAGTGATTTATGTATGAATTTGAATTTTGACTCACGGATTTTACGGGGTTTGATAGATCATTGGAAGCATTGGTGCGGTTGCAGCTGGACTTGATCTTGGTAAAGAAGGTCCTCTGGTTCACATTGGAAGTTGCATAGCTTCTTTGCTTGGGCAAGGTGGAACAGACAATCACCGGATCAAGTGGCGGTGGCTTCGTTACTTCAACAACGATAGAGACCGCAGGGACCTGATTACGTGTGGCTCAGCTGCTGGAGTCTGCGCAGCCTTCAGGTCACCTGTTGGAGGCGTGCTTTTCGCCCTTGAGGAAGTCGCCACTTGGTGGAGAAGCGCTTTATTGTGGCGGACTTTCTTCAGCACAGCGGTCGTTGTGGTGGTTCTAAGGGAGTTCATAGAGATCTGTAATTCAGGAAAGTGTGGTTTGTTTGGAACAGGAGGGCTTATCATGTTTGATGTGAGTCATGTGACTTATACTTACCATTTCTCTGATATAATCCCTGTCACGTTGATTGGTGTCATCGGTGGAATTCTCGGGAGCCTGTACAATCACCTTCTCAATAAAGTTCTCCGGCTTTATAATCTGATCAACGAGTAAGTGTTAGCTGCTCAATTTGTTCAAATACTCTTTTTATCAGATGCTATGAGTAAACCTGTGAAGTTTTTTAGTAGAGTTGGTTACTTACCTTGTTTGGTCATTTTGCAGGAAGGGAAAGATCCACAAAGTGCTTCTCAGTCTTTCGGTATCCCTATTCACATCGGTTTGCCTCTACGGCCTTCCTTTCCTTGGGAAATGTAAGCCTTGTGACCCCTCAATAGAGGAGATCTGCCCGACGAATGGACGATCGGGCAACTTCAAACAATTCCATTGCCCAAAAGGTTACTACAGTGATCTGGCTACTCTGCTTCTCACCACCAACGATGATGCTGTCAGAAACATTTTCTCTTCCAACACTACCAATGAGTTTAGCATGGGTTCCCTTTGGATATTCTTTGTGCTCTACTGTATCTTGGGGCTTTTTACATTTGGTATTGCAACACCGTCCGGTCTCTTCCTACCGATCATCCTCATGGGTTCTGCATATGGACGAATGCTTGGCACAGCGATGGGATCCTACACGAGCATTGACCAAGGGCTTTACGCTGTACTTGGTGCAGCTTCACTCATGGCTGGGTCGATGAGAATGACTGTGTCACTCTGTGTTATATTCCTCGAGCTCACCAACAACCTCCTATTGCTTCCTATTACAATGTTTGTGCTTCTGATTGCCAAAACTGTGGGAGACAGCTTCAACCCGAGTATTTATGACATCATATTGCATCTAAAGGGCTTACCTTTCCTAGAAGCAAATCCAGAGCCGTGGATGAGGAACCTCTCCGTTGGTGAGCTTGGTGACGCTAAGCCCCCGGTTGTAACCCTGCAAGGCGTAGAAACGGTTGCTAAAATAGTTGATGTGCTAAGGAACACAACGCATAATGCATTCCCTGTTTTAGATCAAGCAGAAGTACCTCAAGTGGGTCTAGCAAGTGGGACTACAGAACTCCACGGGTTGATCCTGAGAGCGCACCTCGTTAAAGTTCTGAAAAAGAGATGGTTCTTGACAGAGAAAAGAAGAACAGAGGAATGGGAGGTCAGGGAGAAGTTTCCATGGGATGAATTGGCGGAGAGAGAAGACAACTTTGATGACGTGGCCATCACAAGCTCTGAAATGCAAATGTATGTTGATCTCCATCCTCTCACCAACACAACCCCTTACACAGTCATGGAGAACATGTCTGTGGCCAAGGCTTTAGTGCTGTTCCGGCAAGTGGGACTCCGACATTTGCTTGTTGTTCCCAAGATTCAAGCCTCAGGAGTGAGTTTATTATGCCTCTGACTCTCTTTTACTTTCAAGCTTGCTAATAAAGACGCTATAAGAAAAAAAATCTAATGACACTAACTTTCTCTCTAATCAAATCGTTTGCAGATGTCTCCTGTGGTGGGGATCTTAACCAGGCAGGATCTAAGGGCATATAACATTCTACAAGCTTTTCCTCACTTGGAAAAATCCAAAGGTCGAAAAGCACATTGAATAGCTACATAATCTGTTTACCTGTGGTTGTAAAAATGGCTTGCAGCTTTTTTCTTTTTCTTCCCATTCTTGAAGATGTTTTTCTGTCCAGTTTTGCACTCTTTCTACATACCCAACAGAAGTTGATATGTTAAATATTGCAAAGGTCTCTTTTTCCACTTGTAAAGTCACAGTAAGAGAGGAACTATATCTCCTTATCAAAAGGAACAGAGCAAAATTGTTTTATCATCCATTAGATGGTCTCCAGGACTTTTGAGGTTCTAGCGTTACAGACATTAACTATTAAGAGTCCTTGTGATTCTACTTAGCACGCACTTTCTTTATTCCCGATTTCTTCTTTTTCTTCATCACAACCCTTCTCTTGAATATGGCCAAAACTTCAATGCTGAAAACCCAATTGTAAAATAAGCACGCATGGTACTTATTGCAGTATAAAATTTAAGTAATTGTTTTTACGAACTAATACCTGTCAGTTCCGGGAAAGAAGTTGAAGCCATGGGCTTTTTCCAGCTCCCACGCTCTGCTAGATAATAACGACTTGCAGTCCTGAGCAATCGTTTAGAAGTTAGAATGAACTAAAGCAGCAGCATTTATTGGTGACTTATTAGCCATTAGTATAGAGGTGATATAAATGTTACCTCCTTAAAGCTTTCCCAACCACAGCTTATATAGATGAGTTTTTGCGGTAGTGTCTTATTCTCCTCAGAGGTCTGCTTGTTGCCAGCTTGAACTGAAAGTTCCCTTGCTCTTAAAATCCATGGCCTCTTCTCCTCTTTTGCGCTGGGGCTTGAACTGAAACAAAAGAAAAGTAACAGATCCATAAAAATCTAGAAGTTTTGATGGTAGGAAATCGAAGATTGTCTTTGGAAGCAAATTCAAAAATTTTATTCAGAAAAAATTGAACAACCTCTGTGATGAAGACCTCATTCTTTTCTCAATGGTGGGGACAGACTCCAAAATCTGACGGAGAGAAGCATCCAGACCTCTCCTAGGAGGATCCACAACGACTACATCTGTTCCTATAATCCACGAAAGAGGGTTCTGCAGAATTTCAAATACAAGGTAAAACACATCGTTAAAATGTTTAGAAAATTCCAAGAAAATTGGGAAAAAATTTCCTAAAAGCAAACACTACTGACAACTGAAGCATCTGCATGGTGCCAACTGATGCTGCAATTCAATGAGTTCGGCAACCGCTGGATTGTTTTCTCAAAAGACAGTCTTGCTTCTTTGTTAACCTCAATGCATTTGACAGAACTGAAATCAGGTTAAAGTTTATAACTGAGGTCAATCTTTTCATCAATTTGAACATCGATATACACAGTCTTCTAAAAGAAATGACAGATGTGAACAATCTCTGTTCGTGCCTGCATTTCCTCGATGTAGCTAACGATAATCCAATCACTCCAGCTCCTGCATATAGATCAGCAACAGATGATCCACCAGGAACATACTTATGCAGTTTCCAGAGCAAGCTATCAAAAGCCTGGCACAAGCGTTGGACATATTAGCATGCTACCAAAAGCATGGCACAAACGTTGGACATACAGTATTTACTACAGCCGTCATGAAAATTTAGTTCAAACTAGCAGTTCTGATCTACTCCTGGCTCATAAAGCCTAACTTAATAAACACATGCTCACCCGTGTATTTGCCTGGCCAAAACTGGAAGGATCCAAGGATATGTCGATTCCTCCAACGTGTTCCCAGAAATCTCTCTCACCTAAAAGATGCCTCCATCTGTTTCCAAAAATGATCTAAGACAAACGGGATAGTTAAATGTGATGTTAATCTTGAAATTCACAACATGTTGCCAGAACAAAGTAAAAAAGCTAGCACTGATATTCCCTGAATATTTGCCCCGACTCTCAAGCATAAGAAAATTTTGTTCTTTGACTCACATTGTTGGTTGATGTCTGAAAGTTAGCCCAGACAGAATGAATCAGATGAAACTTGCTATTGGGTCCACCCTTTCTCCACAAGTACTGCAAACGAAAGAAATCTAAGTTTTTGTACACAAAATAGGGCAAAACAAGCAAAAAGAATCTTGCGAAAAACTCACACTTGACAACGCTTGCAGCTTATCTGCGTTATGAGATTTTTCATTTCTTGAGTTCCAAACCAAGGACACCTGCACTTTTCCTGGAACCAAGATTTCAAACTCAGCAACTCCTCTTTGAATCTTTTTGCGTCATATCACTGTGGAAAGAAACTAAGCAAAAAGAAAACTTTCCAACCATTCTTGTATCTCTCTGGGGCACGAAGTGATGTACTGTTTGTCGTAACAGCCATCTGTAACAAAACCCAATCACCACAAGGTCCACAACACAGCAAATCGGATTACAAAATTGCCATATACAGTGTATACTCAAATGTTATTCCATTATAAATCACCTGAACATATCGTAAGTCCCCAGTACCCTGATCCTCATCAAATGGCTCGACATCGAACACTTTAATACCTTAAAGTATAGCAAAAACCCATCAAATGGCAACAAATACAAACAATTCCCACCTCTGAATCACAGAACAAATCAGAAATTCTACCTTCTCTCAGTAACTCAATGGCAGCATTAATATTAGGATGATGAGCTGCCATATTAAAAAACTCTTAACATAAGCAAAACCATCATAAGAACCTAAAATCAATCATTTTCCAGAGTAATCAAAATACCTTTACATTCAGGAATATCTACAACGGTGTGAGTTCCTTCTTGATACAAACCAATCAATGCATTATCCGAGGAGCCACGAACGGCCAATTTTGCTCGGCATCTCCATCCCCACTGCCACAAGAAGAAGCATAAGAAACCAAATAACCTCAAATTAAAGAGAAGCCCAGAGAAATAG